TGTCCGTTTCCACTCAGTAGCCATGAAGGGTTGAGAGGTGATGACTAGTGGCGCGACTTTCCAGTGGACTAATTCTTTACTTAAGTAACCACTTTTCCTTTGACACAATAAATACACTCCTACTAAGCAGTTTCATATTGCCTGTATCATGTTAGTGTGTATGGTGCTTTTGAGGAAATAGCGAGCCGAAGGTGGTGATAGGCACACCCAAACAAAGCCAGTGTGGCAATACTTTCACTGAAGTGAAGTTAGAGCGAATGTAGGGTGGAAATTTGCAGACGACGCTAAATTGCAACGAAAATAGGAGTCACCCCTTATCTGTGGTTGAACCTCACGTGCATGCGCCAAGTATATTTTACCACACCAAGTAAAGAGCATTATTCATGAATAGCCAAGCAACTGGGATTTGAGCTGAAATATGTTAAGATGGGGGATTTTTAAAGAATAAAATAATTATGGGGCGTGTAAGAGACAGAAAATCTAACTATCAGTAACGAGAGAACATTGCTGTTGATTAGGGCTGCACGGTATTGAAGAAAAACACGATGTGCGATAACTCGTTAAATAATTAAAAACTGAAAATGACATCACCACCATAAATGTTAAAAGCAATCTCTGCCGTGCGCACCGCCCTAAAACTCTGAATTTTTCGTAACTTTTTGAAGTATTAAAATCATTCCGATATCGCAAGCCCTTGCGCTATGCACATCGCCGTATTTACATTTGCGATATTTCGATATATTGTGCAGCCCTACTGTTGATGGATGATGATAAATCCGAAACATTACATTTATGCTAAAAGTTCACGCTTCTACCATAAAAGGAATGTTTCAGATTTATCATTTACCTTCTAAACCTACTAGGACGAGAATATTTTCTTAAGAGAAAGAAACTAGCTACACGTTTACGCAAGGTTTCTGTGCTGTACTGTCTGGTTAAAAGTGGACAATTTATTTATTTATTTATTTATTTATTTATTTATTTATTTATTGGTTACTGTTGTTTTTGGCAGTCAGTATTCTGCTAAATCCTTATGAAAGCAGTATAAAATGCAGCGCAGTCGAGGGCGTGGTCATGATTTTAATTCAAGTGTACGGTGTACTGAAAGTTCACGCGTGAGATTTAATTTAAATACTTGCCTACGGCGTTCACGCTACATTTACGTGCGCATTTATGTGCGTAAAACAAGCTAGCGGGACACAGGCTGTCGAGATATGCGCGTCGAAGAGAGTCGGCAAGTTCCTAAATAAAAGGTGTGATAAAACAGTGTTAATCTCAAGCGCTTAGCTTTAAAAAAACGGAACCGGATAAAAATAATGAAGCCGAGCGCATGTTTGCCGAGGAGGCCGCCGTTATCAGTGTGCAGAATCTGTGCAGCAAGTGCGAACGAAGTGTCCACGCAGCTCCTGTAAATGAGCATGCGCTGATGTGAACGTCCTGTTGGTAAAATGAACCTTACAAGCCCACGCTGTCAGAATCCGCTGATGGTGGGCCATGGCGCCGCACAACCTCACTTAACACACAGGCCTTGATGGGCTCACGGTGTGTTAGAAGACGGGGAATCACCAGTCAATGTCTAGGACACTTCTATTATAAGTAAACGTCAATAAATGGCATTAAATATTGCAAACAGCGGAATAGAGATCATACACTTTACATCCCCACTGATGCTTCCTTTCTGCAAGGAGAATGTGAAAAAACTTATCTTCTATCTAATTTATCCTGCATTGGGTTTTTTTCCCACCTCCAGTGTCCCAAGGAGCAGATCATAAAATATTAAAAATGTTTTATATTAAAAATGATGCCTAGCTTTAGTGTTGTATTAAAATGAGGGGGGGCACAAACACAAAAACATTTAAAGGCCTGTGGGAAAAGGCATGAACGATCAGACAATACCGCAGTGTGTCACAGTGCGTCTACTTTCAGGTAATTTTATTTGAAAATTAATTTTCCAAGGGCGGCGCCATACTGACAGTTTCGTGTCGTTGGCTATACCCATCCCTTCTTTCTCTGAGTCATTAGCACAGGAGTTAGCAATCTAACAGGTAAACGTTACATCAGCAGACTTCTACCATTAGCTAGAGGCTTCAGGTCGGTGGCTTTCAGTGTAGGATTATTTAAAAACTCTGACTCAATGGGCCAAACATCATCATCATCATCATCATCATCATGTAGACATTTTATGAACAAAGTGGCGCTGCAGATTAAGGACAGCGAGAGGTGCAGAAAAATGACCTGACATGAATGTAGACAATATGTATGACTGTGCAGTCCATTCATAAGTTATACATTGTGTGTATGTACATTTTATATATTAGATTAGACCTTATTGTCATTGTGCAGAGTACAAGACTACACGAGAGTACAGAGCCCAAGGGCCCAACAGCAGGAGCTTGACGGTGCTGGCGCTTGAACCCCCGACCTTCCGATCAGTAACCCAGAGCCTTAACCGTTCAGCCGCCACTACCCCACACACTTGAAAACCTTTGTTAACAGTGTTTGAATGCTGTTGACGTTGGAAATGATTGTCAAAAATGAAATCATCTTTGAGAGCTGCTTGTAAAGCCATATAGACAAACCAGTGACTGTATGGGATGTGGGTGAATATCCCATACAGAGCAACGTAACCGTTTAAAAGTGAAGCCAAAATGTCTCTGAGGCCCTCCAGTCTCAGACTCAAAGCTCTAAAATCTTTATCCGACAATAAAATTCAAATACATGCGTAAATTATACATCATCATTGTAGTATTCTACATATTAATTACATTACAATGCACCAAACCCCCAACTGCTCCCCGGGCGCCGCAGCAAAAAAGGCTGCCCACTGCTCCGTGTGTGTGTGTGTGTGTGTGTGTGTGTGTGTGTGTGTGTTCACTACTGTGTGTGCACTTGGATGGGTTAAATGCAGAGCACAAATTCCGAGTATGGGTCACCACACTTGGCCACAAGTCACTTCACTTCTATATGTGTGGACCGTATCTCCTGCTCATGCTCAGCCTCTAAGCTCTCTACTTGCTGTCTACTGCGCAGACTCAAACACGGCAACTTTCAGCTCGGCCAAAAAAGGCTTCAAATCCACACAACAGGTCTCATTTATCAAGCTGGACACGAGTGGATTTATGCGCGAATCATTAGTACAAGTGCTTACACAGGAAATTTGGTATTCGTGAAAATCCCATAAATTCAGAAAAATGTTCATAACCCACTCCTGCTCCTGCCAAGTGTGTGTTAATTTAGGCATAACAAGATTAACTAATGTAGACCTCAACTTCAAATCATCTGCATGGATTGCTGCACTTTTATATATGGAATATACTGTTGAGTTTAAATTGTATATTTCTACTGTGTTTACAGCATTTAGCAGATGCACATATCCAGAGTGGCTCACAGAAGTGATTTGGAGTCTCTGTCAAAAACCTAGCTCACTAGAACAGGGACTAAGAGTGCCATCCAGAACATTGTGTGAAAACCAGGCGTTTTATTTTTAGTAGTAATAATTAATGAATATAAAAAAGCAAGCCAACACAAACCCATAAATTATGACAAATAAAACTAAGCAATCATCAGACAAGAGAGATGGTGGTATCAACGGAGGACGGGGCGCTCTCTGTGCATAGCCATATGCTGACTGACGATTTAGCGCACACTTATTAATAATAATAATAGTAGATATTATTAAGTATTTCTATTGGCATTGTAGTGAGTCAAAATAATTCCCACTTCTGTTTTTCAGGCTTTACTCTGATTGATTGATTGATTGATTGGAGTTTTGTGGGCATCACTACATGCTCGGTAATTTACCAGTGATTGGCATTCATCAGCATAAGCACGAATGTCGGAAATAAATCGGCGTTTCCGAAACGTTTGTAAATCCGGCAACAATTTAAATGGCACCATGTTGTCCTCTCATTCAGGCAAACACACGTAAATACTGATTACAGCCACAGTCAGTTGTGCTAGAATATAGATGTTTATGTCATGGTGCTGTTCAGTTCTTGGCCAGAAGGTGTTGATTAAAATTATGAGCTGCCGTTATTAAAAAAATAAAAATGAACAGTATTGTTGCTAAAAAAAAAATCATGCTAAAATTTTCGATTCTTTATTTCTGAGATTTAAAAATACTAACTTTTGTGTCTTTGTGAACCCTAATGAATACTGCTGTTAGGGAGCAAGTCTGTAAATACTTTATACTTTTATATTAAGTCTTGTTTGGAAAGGCGAGCAGGTTTATTGCTCTATTTTATCTGAATTGAAAGGTTTAGCCTTTTTTTCTTTTCCTCTAACAGTGTCATTCTTATGAAGTCTGATAAAACTGCTTTGTCATGAGGAAGGGTTTCCTTTTCAGACAGTCTGTGTGATCAGAAAGCTGCATGGCATGTAGTCCCACTGAGCAGGAGAGACCTACGTGGAAGTGGCTAATTGTTTGTGTTCAGTGTCTGAAAGTTGAAGTTGTGGGTTGGTGGTGTGAATGCTTAGTGCGCCTACTCGCACTAAATTTCCTGTTCAGTCGCCATTGAACCTTTTCCACAGTGGCCAAAGTGCCTTAGACTTTTAACGGTTCCTCCACGTTCTTACGTGGTAGAAAATGTGGGTTTCAGGTCCCACAAGTAGAAGATCAGCATATTGTAGCTGCTGTCCATTCCAGACTAATGGCTTCCTGTGAGGGAGCAGCCACTCAACACATTACTGTTTTCGCTTGTGTCAGCCAGAGAAGTCCTCTTCCTTCATCAGCTAAGGAAGCTGTGTTTTGGAGTATGGCTCTATTTAACCACACTACAAAATTACCAGCTGCCAAGAACATATGCCTATCAGCACTGAACACAGTGAAGCAGACTTGGCAGCGTACCATTTCCCTTTTCAGTGCTGTTAATAATAGATCATAATCATAATAAAGATTTTGCACTCAATTTTTAATAAGATTGCACTAGACTGTTACTTTATGTACTCTATGTGCATAGTGGTGTGATTACAATTACTAAAATTAAAAGAATTACTTTGGGGACAGTCGTGGCTTAATGGTTAGAAAGTCGGACTTGGAACCTGAAGGTTGTGAGTTTGAGTCTCAGGGCTGGCAGGGATTGTAGGTGGGGGGAGTGAATGACCAGCGCTCTCCTCCACCCTCAATACCACGACTGAGGTGAGACCCTTGAGCAAGGCACCGAACCCCCCAGCAGCAAAAAAGGCTGCCCACTATTGTGTGTGCACTTGGATGGTTAAATGCAGAGCACAAATTCTGAGTATGGGTCACCACACTTGGCCACAAGTCACGTCACTTCACTAAAAAGGCATTTTAAAATGTAAATCAGCCAATCATGCAGCAGCAGGACAGTGCATAAAACCCTACAGATACAGGTCAAGAGTTTCCCTTAATGTTCACGTCAAACATCAGAATGAGGAAAGGTGTGATCTCACACTTTTTCCAAGCACAACGTTCTCTAGAGTTTAAACAGAATGGTGCGGAAAACAAAAAACAGCGCGTGCGTGTCCGTTCCTGCTGAAGAGAGAGGTCAGGTCAGAGGAGAATGGCCAGACTGGTTCGAGTTGACAGGAAGGCTCCGGGAACTCAAATAACCACTCTTTACAACCGTGATGAGCAGAAAAGCTCACAACAGAACACACGACACATCAAACAGCAATCTGAGCCTACAGTCACTAAACTTGGACTAGTGAATTCCCCCCCCCCCCATTCCTGCACACTGTAGCATTCCTGCATTAGATGAAGATAAATTGGATGGTAATTGTGCAGTTCCTGGTAGTTGGTTATGCCTAGAAATTAACAAATGATCAAATTATGGCGCAAATTGAACCATTTCCCCACTGGGAAACAGGTGCAGGAATGATGGTGCAGTAATTCTCCGCTGAGATCATGCTACAACCAAGTGCATCGACTTTGTAATATTTATTCCAGGCTTAGACTGTGCACTGAGCCAGCGCTGAGATTTTTAAGGCTTGTTGTTTGTTTCATGAAATATTTATTGGCTTTTGAAATTAAGAGTCAATGAGTTAAGTGTGAATATTAAGTACTAATAACAAAAATTAATAGGTAAATCGGATTAAAAAATGTTTAGTCTAGCATCATGATATATACATATGGAATATATTATGCACTTCAGCAATGACCATACAAGCCTTCATCGATATGATGATCAATGCTTTGACAACATGTCATAACATTAGGTTGGGTGCGCGTTCATATCTTAATAACTCAGGAAATCACACTTGCTATTCAGAATACCTGATAACTCGGTGCGAGGTTGTGTTTGGTGGCCAAATGATGCACCGAGCTACTTTGAATTACACACGAATTTAAGTGTGACTGGCTACTTAGATTGATAAGCTCTGTTTGGGGATTTCTGTTTCTACATCCTACGCTCTAGGGCACGTTGCGAGGAACCGTGTATACACGACACGGATGGTTTATGGTGCTGTTTATGACTATTATTTGTTTATATGTGTAAAAATTTAGGATGTGGCTAGTTCATAATGCACAACAAACACACCCCTTTCTTTACCAGACGAGCAAAATAAGGCCTACGAGTACATTTAAAAGAACAGCCAGGATTTTATTTATTTATTTATATTGGTAGAACGGTGCTGCACACACACACCATGAAAAGCTCTAGACTTTCTGTATATACCTTCTTTCTGTTCCCAGAATCCAGAGGTGAACTTTGTGCCACTGATTTCTGTTAACGCTGTGAAACTGGAAACTGGAATTTGTAAGGTTTGTGTGGGTTTTTTTTTTTTTTTAAAGCCGTTTTAAAATATATGGTGCCGTCTAATAGTCCACTACGGAGAGCTGTTGTTTAATTAGTCCTGAACATATTTTGTCTAATTATATTTCTCAAACACAATGACATGATTCTTCAGTAATACAAATTTTACAAATATATTTTTGGTGGAAGTATAGCGAGAGTTTCGAGTTTAGAAGTCTTCTACTGTAGCACTGTTGGATGCTGGAATCTGATTGCTCAGGATGTGTTGATTAGTTTTCTTTAACAGCATGCCGTGTTAATGCACTCGTTCTAATACGTTACCCTTCACAGGGAAGCTCTTCAGGACAGAGGACTTTCCTGTATCTCTAACGACAAGCTGCTCTTTTGCCTTTTTATCTTCAAGAGAGTCTGAGAAAGGAACTGCAGTTTCTAGCTGAGATATCATGAGTGATAACAGGAACCAGCTCGTCTGGCAGATGTTTCGCAACATTAAATACAGCTATAAATGGATAAAAGTACGATGTGTAATTCTTTGAAACTGCTGTGGTGTAAGAGGAATAAAACGCTTCGGGGTGTAGCAGTAACCCCGCTTTGTGTCGGGCCGCATCACGCCGCCCTGCCGCTTGCGTTGCGCGGAATGAAGCCAGTGGCGTGAAGAGAATTTTCCGATGTTCTTTAAACGTACCTATTTAAACGCTTGGATTTCTCATACAGCAAAAAAATTTTCACACACTTAATGTATATATGTGTGTGTGTGTGTGTGTGTGTGTGTGTGTGTGTGTGTGTGTGTGTGTAACTCCTGTTAACCCATATGAGGATGGGTTCTCTGTTGAGTCTGGTTCCTCTCAAGGTTTCTTCCTATCTCCATCTCAGGGAGTTTTTCCTTGCCACCGTCGCCTCGGCTTGCTCATCAGACACACTCACACTCTCACACTTCATCTTACTTTTTTGTTTGTGTAAAGCTGCTTTGAGACAATGACATTGTAAAAAGCGCTATACAAATAAACTGAATTGAATTGTGTGTGTGTTTTAATTAGCTGTTGATTGAACATTGAGGCTAATGCGTATTGTGATCTGTGCTCATGCAGGTAACCTTTGAGAAGAGGCTCCTTGCCCAAGTGAAGGAGATCGTGGGCTTTGGAGCTGCTGCTCTCCCTCTGAGACGCTGACTGTCTTCCTCTGTCCAGTATGACGGACGTGGTGATCGTGAAGGAGGGATGGCTCCACAAACGAGGTGTGTCCTCCCCTTTCTTCCTCCACAAACTCTTCCTGGGGTTGCTCTTGGTTCCTTGCGAGTATGTAACGTGCGTATTTGCGTCACAATAGAGAGAGAAGGTTTATGGGTAAGCACACTGGCAGATCAGCAAGAGCAAGTTTGCGACAGGTTTCCTTTTTTTCCCCTGTTTGTCTCTCACACACACACACACACACACACACACACGTGCATATGATGACATGACATTATTATGGGTTCATTTAGAGAAGACTACAACTGATATTGTTACATGTAGTTTGAGGCTTTATACCTGCTGTAGCTGTCACTGTAATGGCCGAATTAATCAGCCTGCAGGATCGTGTAATTTATTTTCATTTTTCTTCTAACAGACTCCCAGTGTAGGTGATGTAATCCATAGCAATTTAAAAAAAAAAAAAAAAATTCTAAAGCATCCTTCGTGCTCCCCCCCGTTCTATCTTCTGTTTATGATTATACTGTGAACTATGGAACGCGCCGTCATCTTTGACGGCTCTTTCTCAGCTTCTCTTTTCTGTAAAGTCTGGCTTGGTTCATGCGACACTGCCTCCTGGTGTACACGGCAAGTTTAAAGGCTGTGTTAACAATGTTGAAAGTGTATTTTTACAGTGGAGTTAAACTCGGGGGGGGGGGGTCTATGAGACCGCGGATCTTCTTCCATTTCACTCCACAGTGAGAATAGAGTGCGTCCGGATCGGTCCAAGGAGATCGCCGGGGCCAGTCATTTGAATTTGTCGCTTTAACGCGTCATAACTAATCTGTAGACAATCGAGAAGACGCCGCTGATCTGCGTGTTGCACAATGCCAGCGTGAATCCAGGGTTAGTTAGTTAGCACTAGTTTTAGCTCTAAAATCACTGAATTACTCTTAAGATGAAAGGTATCTTAAAATCAGGACGAGCCCCAATTTTAGTTCCTTCTAAACGATGGTGGTTAGGAGCTACTTTTAGGAGCGTTAAGATTTTCGTAGGTGGCAGATTTGGCAATCAGGCTACTGATGAACTTATGTGATCACTGAAGAAGCATTCGAGACGCATGAAAATACTGGTTATCCATCTCCACTGTCTCAACATCAGTCTCTGGTGATCCCATCACAAGTCTGAACCGGGTGGTGCAAAGGAAGTGTGGAGTTGAGACATCTTCAGCTTGATTCTTCATATTTTCATGTGTACAGCCAGATTTTGGTAATTGTGGTAGCATGGTGAGTAGAGATCTTTATTTAAAAAAAAAAAAAAAAAAAAGGCGAATATAAAATTGTAGCAACATGATCGTGGCACAATGGCTAGTTGCATTGTTGGTTTGCTTCAGTAAATCAGTCTCACGAAGTGCACAACCGCTGAGCATTTCCTTTGGTTTCAGTGCAACAAGCAGTTTCTGTTTACCTCATCCGCTAATCGATTGACTTTGATAGCATGAGTCAGAGGTGTAGCGTTTAATTCTGCTGAAAAGGAGAGAGGAAGTGAGCACAGCTGATGTGTGAGAGTGCAGTCACAGAGTAGAGCAGCTCTGTAGGCCTTCCTATCACACACACACACACACACACACCCCTTTACATACAACACCCTTGCAGTCTGTGCAATAAAAGAATACACCTTTTTATTAAAGTAAACAGACTTGCCAGCATAAACACTCGAATCCATTGGTTAAGTGAAAATTGGTGTAATTAATAAATGCGATCAGGAAACTGGCAGTTTCCAGGGAAGTGATGGTTATTTTGCTAGCGCAATGTCATGCTCTCTGTAGCTTATCAGCTGTGTTGTGCTGAATAATGTGAATGGTACATTTTATTTTATGGTTTTTTTTTTTTTTTTTTTAAACATAAAGAACGAACATAACCAAAGTGTTCTGTTCTTACCGTTTGGCCAATTACAGCACTCCGTTTCATTTTAAACTGATTCTAGTCTATATCCATTGCTTGTGATGATCCCAAACTCCCAAGATGCTTGTTGTATCACTAGCGACTTATTTTAAAACTGCACGTAGACCATGTTCTCATTATTCTCAGCTCCTCCAGAGCTCGCATATGGCAGCGAGGCACTCTTCTACATAAACCCGAGGCCATGAAACAATGCTTTGATGAAATCGCTACCATTAGAGACTGCTTTTG